AAGGAGAAGAGTGTGCCGCCAGTCATACCAGGATGACAAATTGAGAGAACAGAGCACAGTAACATTGTGTACTGCTGTGTACATGTTGTCTGTCTCTCTCTCTCTCTCTCTCTCTCTCTCTCTCTCTCTCTCTCTCTCTCTGTGTGTTTGTTCTTTTCTCCTACATGCATTCATCCTACAGGATGGTGTGCTTGAGTTTTGCCCTTGTGGTGGTCCTCTCTACAGGTTTCCATGGTGGAGAGGAGGTAATGTGACTCAGGTCGACCTGAAGTTGCTTGACGTCCTCTGAGATCCATATTCTTCATATATCTTTGCAATCTATGTAGAATTTAGTCATCCTATAATGTCTATACTGTGATTTTACTCACCGTCGCGCATGTCTGTGCATCCTGGTGGAGAAATTGCTGCTCTGACGCTCTTACTGAGGTTTGGCCCATTTGCTCCGTGTTAAAGGGTTGTTGAATTAATGGTCTAAGGGTGTTGCATGTCGTAAAGGCCACTTGAGGGAAATTTGTTATTAGTGATAAATTAATAAAATTAAATTGACTTGATTACATTTACTCAAGTACTATTTTTACAGTACATTTTACTATATCATACTAATGGATATAGAGGTGAAGGAATTCTGTATATTATCATTTCACTATTATATTATAAATACTAAATAATTACTTTTTACGTATGTAGCTTTAGTGGAAATATTTTTTAAATAAGTGATATAGCCTACTGCCATTATTTCCTGCAATGAATTAACCTCTGTGTAACAATATTTTGCAAATAATACGTTGAATTTTACTATGTGCATTATGTTAATAATAATAGTCACTCTGCCAATCATTGTGTTATTTCATGGCACTATACCTTTTGTATTAATTACATCATAATCACCAAATGCACAAAAAGATAATAACCACACTGTGAAGCTGAGAGCTACCCTGCCTCCCACAAATTAATTCATGTCTCGTCTGTATACTAAAATACATTATTCCCTTTAGAGTGATTGTCCCTTCATTGAAGGTTATCCATCTGCATCATCACTGACATCCGTTATTGAATATTTTCTCTTGAGACAGCATCTCTACAGCATGTTGATAAGGCCTAAATATTGATATAGTTATTAGCAACTAGTAATTAGTGTCATGTGTTGGGTGTTGTTGATGCAAGCTTTTCAGTCAATATGAAGTGAGAGAACATTTATGAGACATTTTGAAAACAAGTTACGTAAGTTACTGATTTTACCAAGAAGGTTCTTAAAAAGTTAGAGATGCATTTCATCACCAAATCCATAATCAGCTCCTGAATGGCAGATCTGCAGGAAGTGGATGCATTAAGAAACATGTTTAAGATGGATTGCAATGACATTTCGTACTTGGTCCACAGAGGACTTTGGTGATCTTCTGACTTTTCCTCTAGCGCCACCACAAGGTTGTATTTTTCACTTTTTCTGTGAAATATCTCAAAATTGACTTGATGGATTGACACAAAAATTTGTATGTTTCCTAGATGATAAATGCTTGACTTGGTGATCATCTTTCTGCCAGCGCCACCATGAGTCTGACATTTGTGATTTAAGTGACATGTCTCAATAATGACTATGTGATTATGTAGCCTAACTTTTTCTCTAACGCCATCATCTGGTCTAAATTTCAATTTGTCAAATACTTTTGTTTATGACTGTCCTTGGGAGGCAACTGAACTCGCAATCAGTGTCCTCTGAGGAACCACTGGAAGCTACAGCAAGAGCTACGGGTGTGGTTTCACACTAGGTGTGTGTGACAACAGTTACTTATTGCTTGAAAACAACAATGTTGGCTGAAGATGTTAGGGTAGATGTTGGTCGCGTGGGATATATCAGAACTAGAGAGAATTTCTTCATTGAAGGAGGAGGAAATAATGCCACCGAAATCAGTGATCTGATTGGTTGACGTTTGCCTGTGATTAATGGTGATTGACAGATGGTTCATCCAATCACCTAGCAAGGATTTTTTAAAGTGCCTGCCCTTTTCCAAACAACAACTTCACAGATGGTTCTGTGTAACAAACCGTCTGTCGCAGTCAGGTTAGTTTATGACCAAATACCTGCAGAACTCATGATATTCTCATCCCGAGTGTCAGCAAGCTAACACATTAAGCTAAGAAAGTGAACATTACACTTGGTTAGTATCAGCATTGTAACATTAGCATGCTAATGAGCTAATGTTTTTAGCTCATAGTACACAGAAAGCGCTGAGAGAAGATGACGTACGTTTGGATGGGAAAGTAAACAATTAATATCATTCATTATCACACAGGTGTTGACTGCATGTCATCCACATTACTGCACAGGTGCCTCTGAAAAAAGTCAAATGTGCTGATGAATTAGCATACATTATTAAAAGTTGCACAGGATCTGTGTACCTGCGTTATATACAGACCTGAAAACAAACACATGGATTGAATTAGACTATTAAATTAGAGAGAGACTGCATGCCATTCTTCATCTCTCAAACAGTGGTTAGTAAGTAATGTTGTGTCACAACGTATGGAACACTATGGACACTATAAAATCCTGATGTCTTTGCCGGCTGCTTTGATTAACTTAGGCATTTAGTTTGCCATTATCTTGTATTCTTTTTCTGGCAGATTCATTGGCAAGACAGCCAGTGCTGTCAACAAAGGTCTACGCATTGCTTTGTTTTTCTTTGTTTCATCTATCCAACTCTCTGTACTTGACTTTACACAAATGTCAGAGCAGAAGGAAAGCCCTATTATTAAAATGTCCCTTTTCCTAAAAGATGTTACTGATGTGTAACTCAGGGCGGTAAATCTGAATGCACTGCACAGTACATCGGTGAGGATGATGTAGTTATAAAAGAGCAGACCTTGAAACCAGGGGAGATACACTAACACGATCAAGCCAATTAAAGTGTATTAAAAAGAAAGCCTTGAAACAACTCTTGGTTCTCAGTTTAGTTTACAGCAGCGTCAGGAAGCTGTTGCCATTGAAAAAGCTCTAAAAAACAACATTAGTAACTGGGTGGTGAACATACTGGAACATTTGGCAGCTGTAGAGCTAGATTTCCATTCCATCCTATTATTTATTCTGTCCAAACACTCCCACCTGCCCTACAGTACCCCCATTCCCATCACCTGACCATTCCCACACACCTGCACCCCCGTTTCTAATTTAACTCACTACTTTTGCATTCTATCAGCCCATTTCCGCTCTGTCTTTGTCAGATTGTCTAGTTTGCATTCGTCCCAGCTTTGCAGCCTTAGTTCTGTCTGCCTCCTTCAGCCTACCTCACCCACCGCCTGATCCACGGATATATGATTCTCATTCACCTAACCCCTTATTGGATGAGTTCGCCTGATCTGACTGTGTACCAGGATTTTACCCTTACCTGTTATTCAGGTAGGAGTCAAGTAAACAAGAACTTTTATCTTAACCTGTCTGCCTGTGAGTTGTGCTTTTGAGTTAAAGCTTGCTTTATTTCTGAGCGATTACACTTTTCCTTTTTATACTTTAAAGGTCCAGTGTGTAACATTTAGGAGGCTCTAATGACAGAAATGAATATAATATCCGTAAGAATGTTTTCATTTCTGTGTAATTACCTAGAAATAAGAATCCTTGTGTTTTTGTTACCTTAGAAAGAACTGTTCGTTGCCGTGGGTCACCTTCCATGGCAGCCACCATGTTTAACCACCATGTTTCTACAGTAGCCCAGAAGGGACAAACCAAACATTGGCTCTAGATATTTTTGCACATTTCGCAGCCGCAGTTTCTCCTTCTCACTTGGAAAGGGAGAGGGAAGCGAATGAGTTGCAGTCTGCAACTACACCACTAGATGCCATTAAATCCTACACACTGGACTTTTAAGTACAGTATGTTTTGTTGATAATAAAGTCCATTCTCAGTGTATGTGCACTGGAGGCTTCAAGTTTCTCCATCACACTTGTATAAGTTTTAAATTGGACCAGGATTGACTTTCAAACAATGTGATGTTCCCAAATCATGCTCATAGGCCACTCGCCTTAAAATCCGACTTTGAATGAGCACAGAGAAACTTTCCACTTTCATCAGATGAACTGTGAAAACATCCTTCTAGTGTCAAACTTTTTTAACAAAAGTTAAATATATGAGTACTGGTCGAGACAGACGACCACTCACCTAGAGCCGAAGGATCTGTCCTAGGTTTCTGCCTTTTAACAGGCAGTTTTTCCTTGCCCTTGTCGCCAAGTGCTTGCTCATGGTGGTACTGTTGGGTCTCTGTAATTAATGTTATAAAGAGTTCGGTCTAGACCTGCTCTATTTGAAAAGTGTCCTGAGATAACTTCTGTTATGAATTGGCGCTGTACAAATAAAATCAAATTGAATTGAATTGAACTGAATTGAATTCTTCTACCACAGCTGTTCACAACTTGTTTATAATTAGTGTATTGTGAAATGGGTCATTTGTAGTGGCGCAGATAATTTTAACCAACAGAGCTTCCTTAGCTAAGGAGCCAGTTCTCAAGAGTTAGTAGAGACCAAAGCAGAGCTAAAACAAGAGCTAATATTGGATTCATTAGGTGGGCAGAAACACGACTCAAAATCAAAGCTAATGTTGCTATGTTGCTCTTATGTATAAACTACATTATACGCCGATGATATGTCAGTGCTGTGTGTCCGTCAGCTTACTGAGGTTTCAATCAATTAATTCAACTTTAAATATAAAACTACCAATAATAAGAATAATTCTATGTATCCACTTTATCCACATTTAATATGTTTAATGTTTTTACCGTTGAAACCTAAAATATCTCATTCTATTCCATATATGCACCAATAATGCACCTTAAATCCATTCATTTTTAAATTTGCCCATTAATGTGCGTCAAGCCAAGCTTTGCTCCTCCTCCAACCTTATCAGCAAGCGGATAGGACAGAAAACTACCAGGAGGGTTCAGGGGGTGTGTGTGTGTGCCTGGTATAATAGCAGAGAGAGAGAGAGCGAGAGAGAGAGAGAGGGAAGACCACATTAGCTTGCTAAGGGATGTTCTGCCTGCACTCACACAGAGAGATCAGAGCGTACTAGTTCACTGTGTCTCATTTTCCTGCTCACTGTTAATCAGTCTCACACACGTTCCTTTTCTTCTCGTGCCTTTCTGTGTTTCTGCCTCCCTCCTTCCACTTATCTTTCTTACATCTTTTCCAGGGAACATTTATTTTAACTTCATACTATTACATTTTCTCCAGAGTGGAGAGATGAGAGGGGAGCGATGGGATTGTTTTTGGCTGAGAATCACACCAGCAGCAGATGTTTGAAGAAAATTCCCTTTCTTGGCAATCTTGAAAGGTGAAAAGGAAGAAGGAACACCGGCAAAGATTTTTTCATTCTCTCTCAAGGGTGCCGAGCTTGTCCTCCAGATAATGAGGCTGAGAAGCACACATGTTGAGATTTTAACACTGCCCGGGCAGATGGACAAATAACAACGGACAAAGAAGTCTTAGAGAGGGAATTTAAAAGGAGAAATTATGAACACCACAGAGGCTCATGGATTGATCCATGGCTACCATAACCGGAGCCAAACCTCGGGCATTTTGCCACTTAACAAAGACTTATCAGCAGAGGAGAAGGACTCGTCCACAGGATGCTATGAACAGCTGCTGATTTCCCCAGAGGTTTTCCTCACTCTGGGCATTGTCAGCCTGCTGGAGAACATCCTGGTTGTTGCTGCTATCATCAAAAACAAGAACCTTCACTCACCTATGTACTTCTTCATCTGTAGCCTCGCTGTTGCTGACATGCTCGTCAGTGTCTCCAATGCCTCTGAGACTATTGTCATAGCGCTCATCAACGGAGGCAAGCTGACCATCCCCGTCCAGTTGATCAAAAGCATGGACAATGTGTTTGACTCTATGATCTGTAGTTCTCTGTTAGCATCCATCTGCAGCTTGCTGGCCATCGCGGTTGATCGTTACATCACTATCTTCTACGCACTGCGATACCACAACATTGTCACCCTGCGGAGAGCAATGTTGGTCATCAGCAGCATCTGGACATGCTGCATTGTGTCCGGCATCCTGTTTATCATCTACTCAGAGAGCACCACAGTGCTCATCTGCCTCATCACCATGTTCTTCACCATGTTGGTGCTCATGGCGTCGCTGTACGTCCACATGTTCCTGCTGGCCCGTTTGCACATGAAGCGCATCGCAGCATTGCCAGGGAACGCGCCCATCCATCAGCGGGCCAACATGAAGGGCGCCATCACCCTCACCATCCTCATCGGGGTGTTCGTGGTGTGCTGGGCGCCCTTTTTCCTCCACCTCATCCTCATGATCACTTGCCCCAGGAACCCCTATTGCACCTGCTTCATGTCCCAATTCAACATGTACCTCATCCTTATCATGTGCAACTCTGTCATTGACCCCATCATCTACGCGTTTCGCAGCCAAGAGATGAGAAAAACCTTCAAAGAGATTTTCTGCTGCTCACACGCTCTCTTGTGCGTGTGAGCTGCCTGTTAAATGTGAGCAGCAGCTATGACCCTGACAACCAAAATCTGCAAGTTAAATTAAACTTGTCCAACAAGGACTTTGAGGTTTTGAGCGTTAATACTTGTGGACTGACGTGACTCTGCTGTGCCCTGTGCTCTCACAGTCAGCTATAAATGATTAATAAGTAGGGGACTCACCTATGGTTTCATGAGACAGGCTTCTAAAGAGGTAGGTTTACAAACACCTTGTAAAATAGAGTACCACTCTGTAGAAAATTGCTCATTTGTTTTGTAGTCAACGCTGTTCTGAAGTGCAATTTAAAGTAAGTGTTACCAGCATGTTTATTTAATACACATGGTCAAAATGTGATTCATTTACAAATCCTTTCCCTTTCTCACTCTGAAATCTTGTCTATATTCCTACGACACTTATCTTGTAGTTCACTCCGAAATAATATCAGAAATACCATGCTTATCTTAAAGAACTTTATGTATCTACATGGATTATGGTATGAAATGTCACTGGCATTGCAACCAGAACCTAAATGCCAGAGTGCATGTGCTCTACTGTATATGATATAGTATATGACAGACTACCTCCATGTTCAAAGGGTGTAATCCACCTCATAACAGCAAGAGTATTTCGCACACCGCAAGCAAATATATGTATATCCCTAACATTTACTTTTCATGAGATAAATTATTACACCTCAGTGATTTCCCTTGTATGTTATGTGCCATCCATGAAGGAAGAGATCATGGGAAGCACAGGGAACAGCTTGCTCAACTAAAGTGTGTTTTTTTGGTAGAGGTAGACTACTCTGTAGAAGAGATGATTGCCTGTGATTTTCCAAGTTGTCCTAATGGTATGAGAGCACTGAGATCAAGCTAGATTATTTTGGAAATCACAAAACAAGAGCACAAATAAAGAATATCACATTTCAGCTCTTTGCTGATCTGCTGTTTCCCATTTTTAACTCGCTCAGCGTATTACTCACAGACTGTTTTCTGATGCTTATGCATAATATTTATTGACTGGGATCTAAAATGGAGGGTAGTACAATTGTAAAATCACTAATTGGGTTAAAAGGGGACATAAAAACATACACATTAACAAATAATGATATATCCTGGGTACAGAATGAGCTTAACAATAAACTACAGAGAAAAGTAAATAATTCAGAGCTTGACTTTAAAATGGGGAAATCAGGAAAATGCCAGTCTATTTCTCAGGCACAAAAACGGCAATTAACAAGCATTTATTTGCATTTTAAAGACAAATGGGGAAACAATTCAGGGTGGAATAAAACCTTATTTATTCTAGTGTGTATTCCCAGTTTTTGTCTCCTTGATGGTAATCTCACACCCAACCTGATCAGGGATAGACCATATAGACCATCACCTCTGATTTTCCCTTTTAAACAGAGCAGCAGAAAAAAAGATGAACAGAGTCACTTTAATTTCCACAAATCATTTCATCATCTCAGTCTGAGCACATATATCAAACAGACTAGTTGGCGCTGCTGTCAGTCCACTGACTCATGTTGATTTCCAATCAAAGCTCTTGTGAATCTGTGGTTTGTGTAGATATTTGTGTAAATTTGCACATGTGGGTTGTTCTCACTCGCAGTATGCATGTGACCATATAGAGATCTATTTTTCATCATGTTCATGTAACAGGACAGATTTACTGAATGTATTTTTATGTATTTGTTGTGTAACTTGTTGCTTTCTCCTTGCCTTAAATATGTTGCACTGTGATGTAAAGAACAACCGTATTCTCTGTGACAGTATTTCAGAAACTGATGTGATCAGTCTTTATATGTAGGTAAATGCTATTTTCGATATTGCCTTATTTATTTCTGCCTTTTTAAACTTGAAGTGCATCTCTAAGCTCATAAAATACACAACAGAACTGATGTAAACGGGAGTCTAATTTTCTGTTTAAAGCTTGGCCTGGAATTTGATTCATGTGTGCTGATATGAAGGTGTTTGCTTGACCACTGCATCCTCTGTGAATCACTGCTGCAAAGTAACTTCAATAAATCATACTGCCACCTCAGCATCAGCTCTGTTTGTCAGCTCTCCTCTGGAATGCAGACTTTAACCTTTACACAAAGACTAGGTTGTTGACTTTTTACTTTAACAGGAAAAAACACACAGTTCCTCAAATTCAGATGTGAAAACAACATCATGCTCAAAAACTTGACTTATAGAAAAAGACAGACAAGAATCTATTCTAATGTCACTGAAATATAATAGATTTCCCCACATAAACTTGAAATGTAGCACAGTTTCTTCTCTGAGGTGACAAACTGAAGTTTTTTTTTTCCGGAAAAAGGCCCACAGTGTTTTCCATTATGGTAAATAATTTAAACTGAAGTAAACAAAACATTTATAACTCTGAAAAATAACTTAATACGCAGTCAATATTGCTGCGGGAGCATCAGTGTGACAAATGGATACTAATTAATTCCAAATTCAATTACATCTTAATAGAGTTTTAGATTGTAATGGATTTACAGATATCAAACCAAACACTGAATGTAACACAGAATATCAGGGATTTATTTTTATGAAGGACTCTGATGAAGGAACATTATTTGTCATTAAATCTATACAAGTTCCAAAAAAGGGATGGAAATGAAGAAAAGCTGATGAGCTGAAGAAAGAATTTTAAAGTTTGAGAACTTTGATTTTGGGCACATTTCTTGTATATCGTTGCAAATGTTGCTATAATACAGAAACACATTCCTATTATGCAGGCAGGGAGCAAGGAATATGCTTGTAGAAAGTGGAGAATGAAGTAGTGCATGCGGGGAACTACACAGAATGAAATGTGAAATCTGTTATTACAAATGTAATACAACATAAAAAAGAAGTGACTCAGCATTCAGTAGTATTTCCATTGATCTCAGACTTACAGCCTCAATTTGGCCCCATTCGTATCAGACCATCTCCTTTCTTTGCCTTTCTTTTTTTTCCTTTTACTTCAGCACAATGGAACAAAATATCACCAGCACTAGGGGAACTTCATGCTGCCTTGCTTAGGTGCAACACTTAGGTTTTCTCAGTGGGGCGAAACCACAAAGGATTCACTTCAGATATCAGCAGACTCCTTTGTAGTCTCTGAAGTCTAAAGTGTAAAGATGGCATAACAAGTGGGCCTCTGCTCACTTCCAGATTCACAGGGTTTGTGTTCCACTGGGAATTCTGATGTGGATAAAAGAACTGACATACTGAGATAGCATGATGTGAATGACAAATGGCTGCAAGTATAAGTTTTATTTTATACGTGCTTCGCCCTCAAAAGAGCGATTGATTTAGGCTCCACCTCGGCACCCTGAGACAGATCAGGTGGTAGCATGTTAGCCCTTTCAAATGGCGGTGCCCCTGCACTCAGGCTCCATTTTTCACTGAGCCATTTTGAGTACAGATGTAACACTCATAGTGAAATCTTCGTCCCCCTCTGGTGTTGCTGAGATGAAAGGTTGGTGCTAGAACAGTGTGACCCGTGTCCTTGTCTCCAGTGGGATGTGTGCAGGCCTATTTGACAAGCATCCTTAGGGCTGTTTGACTGCAGCTGACTATTACAGGTCAGACCTCTTCACAGCTAGGACATATGCATTTGATAACATGAATTTCTCAGACTATGGGCTTGTACTTGTACCCTGGTTCCTCAGTGGGAGTTCTTACAACAGACAAGCCTGGGTGTTTTGTCCACCTTAGCACCTTTCCACATGTAGAGGGCAGGCAATCTCTGCGTTCACCCAACCCCTCCTGCTTGTGTGTCATTTGAGACGGGGGTGTGACGAGAGGTCTGGACTTTCGAGTCTGGGCCTGTTCACCTGGGAACCTTTAATGAGGGGCCTTCGCACCTTTATGTGGGCTCAGCTGCTATCATAGATGCAACATTTTGGGGAAATCTTTGTCAAAACTCCACAAGTATCTGTCTTTGGAAGACATTCAGATTAGTTCACTTAGGCTGTTGGACCCAAGGTGGGCGGTGCTCAGTGACCTGGCCACTTAATTTCTTTTTTGTCCAGTCAACCGTTGTGTCTGAGATGCTGCATGCAGGCATAGCTGGGAGTATATTACATCCCTAACAGCCTTTGACTCCAGTGTTTACCAATAGCGAAGCCCGTTGGAAGGCAATGCACATACAAAATAGACATGGTAAGTTCTCACATAGTAGTTACCTGGATATAATACTAGTCCCATGAGTCCATGTGTTGCGTAGACTTTGTGATAAAGAAGTAAGTGATCAAAAGGATTCACTTTAATTAAAAGGATGTTTAATGTCGTGTAGGATTATAGTAGTATGGCCTTTTCAATGTGTATCTAAGCAACATTCATATCTAAAGACGCCTCTGACATTTGAGAGAAATACATTTTTATGATGCTTCAGTGAGATAACAATTTTCGCCCTTTTAGCTAACCTATTTTTCACAAGCATAATAAAGCACAGCTGACTCACTGGTTCACAATAGCCCTATACATAAAACATGTGCCAGCTACGCTCTCAGCTCTTCTCTGCTGTCCTTCATACTGTATATCTCTGACAAAACAAAGGGTCGTATTTTGACCTTAGCTTCTTAGAATTTCAAGTAATTTAGAAAACCTTGATAAGTGAGGTGACTATTGTGTATCCAGGTAGGAGAACTATTGAGCCAGCCCGCAGATGCAACTGACACTGACTCTTCCCTTCATCTGCAGTCAGCTAAAAATGATACTCCACTCGCACAACAAAGACTAATAAACAGGATTCTGCTGTCTTGCTTCTGTTTTGCATATTGGTTAAGTAATTGGTGAGGGTAGAGTACAGTGAACAACACACCAGACCATGAATTGAAATTAGAGTGGCGTCGCTAAGAAACCCCCGAAATTCTTCTATATTCTGCATCAAAACAGAAACAGGTACTCATCCAGAACAATTTGTCATGCTAATGTACGATGCATTTTGCACAGAAAAGGCAAAAAACTCTCGAAAAGAAAATGCTGAAGAGAAAGAACAAGGAAAACATCATAACACAAGTATTCTCATCTCATTTATATCAACAATGTATATTTTTCATAATAGTAAATGTGAAAGAAAAAAACAAATGCAAAGCCAGCCAACCACTTTCATCTGCAAGTCAGTGGCTCCGTCATTCACTTGAGGCAGCTTACACTGTTCCTGTCAATGAATCCATGAAGTCTCTTTGTCTTCTTATCCGCTGAGTAATCTCTTAAACTGAATCCCATCCTTTTCTTTGGGTTTCCAAAATCCTCTTTCCGGTGTGTGATAGTGAAGTAATGGTTCGTCTTGCTGCTCCTCGGGCTGTGGTATATCATCTTTAAACCAGACTCCACTTTTAGCTGAATTCTAATAAGCTTGAGGGTATCTCCAACTCCAGGAGAGCCTCGCCTGACTGCCTCCCATGTATCATGTACACACTCATTACTCCACAGAGCCGACAAATCAGCAGACACTCCCTGAAATTATGAATGCAATCGTTCTTTTTTAATAGAGAACCTTTTTTTTTTAACCCTTAATTCACAAGTTTATATTGTATCATTTTTCTCCTGCGCAACCTTGCATGTGGCCTTTAGCGCTGCTTTCCCCCTGACTCTCGCTGGCTCTATCTGTCCTTATCATGCTGGCCTCCTGGGGATTTGTGCACAGAGCAGCTTGCATCAAATTAGATCATGTTGACTCTACTCTTGCCATCCCCAGCCACAGCAAATAATGCTGGAATTTACTTTCAAGTCATGTTCTCTGTGTTAAGTTCAATTAACACACTAAATTGCATTGTTAAAAATCCATGCGTAGTGTCCCCTGTTCTAAAATAGTAATTCTCTGACAGAAATTTGCCACAACGTAAGTAGAAAATACTTCCCCTTAATTGTTAATCCTATGAGGGACGGTTAGTAGAACTAATTACCTATTAATACTATCAGGCGTTCAATCGGAGCCATTTGAAGAATGTAAAAGGTTGGATTAGCACAGAAAATTTGCCTACTGTGTAGTTGAAAAACATCATCATGAGGCGACTTTACCCATTTTAAAAACATCTTGAATCTTGCAGTGTTCCAGCCCTTTCCTGACCTGTGTTTCATTTCATTTTCACATTGTATAACAGCATTTGTTTATCCCCCACAGTGTAGTGTGCTTCTTTCTTTATGTGCGTGACAGAGAGAGTGGGTGTAATAGGTGCCATAGTCGTCATAACAACGCATGCCTATGTAAGATGTCATCTAAGAAAACCTGTGAGATACCCCAGAGTTTTCCTTTAAAATACACAAACATGAACAAGTTCTTTATCAGCACTCCTACACCCTCACACCCCTGCATAAGAAAAAAAGTACGATAACTCCAAAGACAAATAATAACTGTATCAAACCTGGAGCCATTTAAACAGCAGGGGTCCAATCTGGTTGTTTTTTGCAACCAAACAACCCAGGTTCCCTTCATTGCCCCAGAAATGTAAGGGCACCTATGAATAAAAATCACAGCTGTTTCCCGTGCTTTAATTACATCCCAGTTAGATTACTTTAACTCCTGTCTGAATCAATACAATCTGTCCAAGGTACTGCACTTTATGTTCATATACATCCAACCACACTTCTGTTTTCACTTCTTATTAGAACTACCAATTTTAACGAGCTTAGGCTATACTGTGTAATGTTCTCCTCTGTGACCAACCAAGCAACAGCTGGGCGGGCATCAAAACCTGTGCGAATATACAATCCCAAGAGGAAGAAACTATTGGTTTGTTGACCCTGTAACCTTTCTTTTTTCATCAGATGATGTTGGTGATCATCATATTTCAAAATGCTGCTGTTAAGTGCCAGATCATCATCATATCTCTGTGCACTATCATATGTCCAAGAGGAAGAACGCAGAATAAGCAACATATTGATTAATGAGACCCTTAACTTTTCCTCTAGCCCCAATTAATGCCAGATTTTCAGTTTTCTAAGGAGTGTATAGATACACACCTAGCAAGAAGAGCTAGAGCAACTAGACTATAGATTTTAGTAAACCCCATGACCCTAAACCAAGCACTACCATTATGTTGT